CCTTTCAACGCACACTTAGAAAGAAAAAGAGATGAACTGGAATACTGAAAGAACGTTAAGGTTTTATCTGTCACTCTTGTCAATAATTTATCGGTAAGGAAGATTCCTAGAAAATCGCTTGTAGTCAAGTTTTCAACCACTGCCAGTTCTCCCATAAGAAGTGTCATCCACCTGACAACCTCCCTACCTGGAGCTGCTGCAGCCAAGGTACTCGACTGACGCTCCCCTCCACTCGGCCTGCACTAGCAGAGTAGGGCGAGCGGCGCAAACGGTTCTGTTTTTCGCATTAAACTATAGCGACCAAAACCGATCAAAACTCTCTTACAAAACGGCAATTAAATATTTAACCTATTTAATTCAACAATAGGAACACTAATGAAGTTCATTACAATAATGAGTTAACAATAAAATACATTGACTGTCATTATTAAAAGAGAATGAAGTCTCTATTATTCTAGTATAATATTAACACAATATACAGGGTGTCCTAGAAATTTTATAAACTTCATTACAGTCTTAAATAAGTGCAAATGTTTTTAGGGATACGTCTATGAGATATTTTTCCTAAACAATAATTTTAAAAATTTGGTATTTTTCGAAAAAAAAACAAACCAAAGCAGATCAAACCAAACATAATCTTGAAATTTTGGCAACATAGGTAGTTTCTCCAAAAAAGTCCTATGGGTATGCCACTGTAAGAAAATCTACGAAATAAAATAATTATTTTTTGTAAATACTGTTGCGTTAATCTAACGGAGACCATATACGGAGACTAATTGTCAGCAGTGGTTTACTAACAAACAAATTTACCTAACGGAAAAAAATGCTTAACGTTTCGGAAAGTATATCTTTTTCCATCGTCGGAAGCAACAAAAAACACAAAAAACAAAGAAAAAAACTATTTAAAATATCTAAATGCAACTATTTGAGAACACTTTAGTTTTTTTAAACAGATGCGTTCAGGATACGTCTACAAAAACCATTCTGTTAAAATGACATTATATCAAAAGTTAAACTTCAAAATTAACAATTACTACCTGATAACAATTATTACCTAATCATGTAATACCATAAAACTTCAAACTTTCTGTATAATTATTTTTAATTTGTTTTTAATTTTTATGTAATGTTATGTATATCTGTGCTAATAGATATGCAGTGCATTATGGTGCGTTTAGACTTGAGCGCGCACGAGCTGAGCGTGCGCGCACGACATTCGTTCGCGCTCTCGGCTCCGTTCAAATTAAAACTTATTTTTCGACGAATGAAGTGATCCATTTGTGCGCGCACAGCAGAGTTGTGTTGGCGAAAATAATGGACGACCAAGAAATAGTCGAGGCTGCAGTCATTGTTATGCACAGCTTAATTATTAAAAAGGAGAAAAATCGAAAACATCGTCGCTGGTGGCAAACCCAAATTTTTAGAAATCGATATAATTTAATGCAACAACTTAGTGTCTGAGGAGGGCTATGATCAGTTCAAAAACTTTACAAGAATGACCAGACCCGACTTTGAATATTTACAAAATTTAATAACACCAAAAATTACGAACAAAAGATACAAATTTTAGAATAGTAATTTCATTAATATCGACATATTCAATATTAATTTTATTTACAAGATCTTGTCATGCGTTTTTTTTATCTTTTAATAATATAAAGAATGTTTAACATCCCATAATATAGGCAACTTTTCATATTTTTCAATTAATAATAACGAAGATTCATTGATGCACTCCATAATTTTAATAAAGAAAACGAAAAAAAATCACACAGGCACGCACGAACGCAGATAAAATAAATTGCCGGTGCAAACTGAGCGTTCGCGCACACGTAAAATTCCTTTGAGCACGGACCAAAAACCGACACCAGACGGCTCGCGTTCGTGGCTGCTCGCGCACAGGCAGATTCAGAGTGAGCGTGCGCGCACAGCCGTTTACACTTGAGCATTCGCGGAGGATCAGTGCGTGCGTGCTCAAGTCTAAACGCATCATTACATAATATGCAGTAACCAAAAATCTCTGAATTCTGAACTAAGTAATATTAAAACCGCTTTGCTTCAGAATTGTTACTCTGCAAAATACCTAGACAATATTATATCCAATTACAAGTCCTCGATGCGATGCATCATACGCGCACGTTTAGGCTCTGTTTTAAAACGGCGAGTGAGCGCGTAGGATGCATCGCATCGAGATGCCTCACTATGTAGGTGCCCTAAAGTGTCTAAACAAAAACAAAACCGGAATCATCAAACCAAGAAATAAAGACAATGAAAGTCCGAAATTCTTTTAGTTTTAATACCGAATCATTGTGTACCACATTCAAAGTAAAGTTGATTAAGTTGCAAATATTTCTATTATTCTTAGAATTATTTTGGATATATGGGGTATGAGCAGGGGTGGATGGGCCATATGGGAAAACGGGAAAATTCCCGGTCGGTGGGCCGGTGGAAAGATGGGCCGGTGGGCCGGTCTCGATCAGAGCTCAAAAAAGATTGGATTAGCAAAAATTAAATTGTTAATCTTCTAACTAAAGTGACATAAGATGCTTAGTGATCCATAACTAACTAATCAATTTGCATCAGTGTAATCGTCAGTTGCTTTTTAACATAAACACCAATTTGTAAAATAACTATTGTAAAATGCCTTGGGGCACTTATAATTTTATTTATTTATTTATTTATTTACTCATTACAAACACCTATTGAGGTAGCTACATGCAAAGGCCCAAAGAAAACAAATACAATTACAATTACTTAAAACTAGACATGTACTACAAAAGTACATAAAAATAATATAAAATAAAGTATATATAATAATAAATAAAATAAATAAGTAACAAAGTACATAACATTTAATTTATAAAATGTGCAATAAAAAAAACAATGAAACCTATCACACCAGATTTGTCTCCTGATGCACCAACAAGATGCGCCTAAGTTCGCCAAACTTAATGCTAAATATATCGGGAATTGTGTTCCCAGACAACATATCATTACAAATGGTGAGCATAAACGTGAATGGCTTCCACCCTCAATGTAAAAAAGATAAATATATAAACTCACTCACTCTCAACCTAATCTTTGATACCCTAAATTTGATGCTATTAATAATCATCTGTTGTTTGTTCGGTTTGAAAATGTTTATTATACAAGGTGAGTCTATAAGTGCAAATATTTTCAGGACTCGTAGATCTCAATAAAATAAACATAGGTAATATATTTATTCTCTTTATCGAGTTTCAAATAAGTCCAATGGAGATATTAAAGTTTGGTAATAAAGAAAAAATATATTTATTTTTAAAAAAAATTTGTGCCACCTCATTTTTTCGGTATTTGCATCTCTTTATGTGCCGTAATATCAGAGATTAAGAAACTATACCGTGGGAAAATTTGCGGTGAACAGGAAGTTCTAAAAAGTTTTTTTAAAATATACAGAAAAATTTATAAGAAAATGCTCGATTTTTAACATCTTTTTTTGTAAAAAAAACTCTTAGACTTGTTCCTGGGGTCAAAATATACTACCCCTGAAAATATTTGCACTTATTTAAGACTCACCCTGTATAGTTTTACCGACTATTCTTTTATTAATAACTAATAAACATGACTGACTGGAAGCAAAAAAAAGAATGAATAGCATTAGGTAAATTTAAATAGTCTCGATCTAAATGTATACTAAAAGTACGGTAGCGTAGATTGACAACTGGGGTCCTCGGTGCAATATTTTCGAGCTGCCCTTTGTAAAAAGGTAGACGAATTTGACGCGAATTCTGCGGTTGGCGGAGAAAACATATCTATGCTTGGCATGAATTGGGGACGGATTAAAAGCTAAGTCTGAGAACTAAAAGCCAAGTGTAAATTGTTGTTGAAAATTGGCTAAAAATTACTAAGACAGCAGAGAAGAGTTAAATAAGGTTCAAACTAAATTAGATAATAAAATATTAATATGTCTCGAAAATCCAAATATTCTTATTATAGACTATAAGATGGCTTTACATCAGAACATATTTATATCCACTGCCTAGGTATTGCCTAGATTTTTTTCGTTTGAGTCATGGCATTATCATACAAGATGCCAAATATAAAAAAGAATACAGGAAAAGTTTCATGATAAGAAATAAGAACCGCGGTTTAGTCAGTTAAAAACACGTGTACACGAGGAGGCTGCTGCTGTAGCAGAAAAGAGAGAATTTCTTTCTACAATGTGTAAGAAAGTATATACCCGAAAAGCTAAAAGTAATGTATTTCACAGAGGATTGGGTCAGCTGAACTGAATGAATCAGGAAGTCTTAAAGTTTCTCAAAATCGTGACTCAAAATCGTAGCCTATTCAAGATCAAATTACCGTTATCGATAATCAGGGCCGGCGGCGGCGGAAGGAAAATATTTAGACCGGGCGAGTACCATATCTGGCGCCCCTTCCCCCCCTAATAGTTATTATAACTCTCTCTTTCCTTCAATACTATACTTTACCTACAACTAAACATATTTATGCTACTTTAACAACAAATTTTTACTTAAAGATACTTCAAAATTCTTCTCTTCGTTCAATCTTAGTCTTTACGGTTATTGTTTTTTCTACACCGGGTGTAGTAGTAGTAGTGTAAACATTGGTCTTTACGAAAATTTTGATCAAGACAATTTAATTTTTTTTAAGAAACCGGAGTCAAAAGACCTTTTTTGCACGAGCGAAAAACACCCTACTTAAATATTAAAAAATAAAATATGTTTCTTCGTTATGGTCATTTTGTTTTTGTGGATTTGGGCCGGTTGCCTGTTTTTCCCGGGCCGGTTTCCACTTCCCCATTTACCCCTGGGTATGAGCTTTATGTAGTATGTAGATGATCAACAACTCATAATTAAAATCTAAGCCTATTAGTTGAAAAGAAATTTTAAATTTCTTATTAATATTATTGAAGTTTATTCAATATTCATATATTCAACAAATCCTTCTAAGATAGGTATATTGTTTGCAGTTTTTTATTAAATAAATAAATTAAAAAAAACGTTTTTAAGTTTGTACTTAGTACAAAGTTTATTTATTTTTATCAATGCTTACAAAATGATCTATTTATTCTACATAGTAACTATATAACAAATCAGGTAATTTAACAATTTGTTCAGTTAATACATCACAAGAATACTCACCGGTTTTACATTTATAAAATACTATTTTTTGTAAACCTACTGTATATATCACTCTATAATTATATAATCTAACAATATGTACAGACACTGATGAATACCTATATCTAATAATATCACAATGTCTTTTATATGTACATGCTTAGTATCATAAAATAATTATAATTATTAAAAATACGCTAAAAATATTCTCACACTTTTATCCTCACATATTTTCCCTATTCTACGTGCTATTTACAAAATAATATGTAATAAATAATTGTCTCTAACAATTAATTAGTATCACACTTCTGGAAATCACGTGGATTCTGGTCCAAATTTCTCTACGATCTTTTGTACGCTGGTCACTGTACCAACAATGAGGCCTAAAAAGGCGAAAATCACTATGGCCACGTTCTTGACGTGGTTCAGGACACTTTTGGCTGACCGCCTCTCTTGCCATTTGTTGCAGGAGTCCATTATGGCGGGAAAGGCGACACCTAGTGACGATATGCAGAAAGCTCCCACGAGTGAGATGAATAGATCGATATATGGTACTGCCACTGCCAAGCAAACTGAAAAAAATAATATAAATTTAAGACTCAAAGCTAGAGTTATTTTGGATTTACTAAATTTATTTATTCGACATGAATAAGGTTCCCACCAGGGTTGGAAAAATCAGATTTTTTTGATTTAAATCAGATTTTTTGGATTTTAATTCAAAATAATATTTAAATCGGATTTCCAAACGACTAGGACTTATTTCCAATTAAAGTCCTATACTAAATAGCTAAATCTTATACCTCGATACCGATAACATTAACAATTCTACGGGGTGTGTGATTTTTTCACATCGGTCACCAATATATATTCTGCAAAAAAAGTCGTTCGCTTCAGATCAAAAGAATTTTTTTTCAAACGTCTCAAAAGTATTAATTTTTGTCATTTTAACGCCTAGACATAAAAGTAAAGCACTGTTACGCGTAAGCACAAAAGTACAAAAATATATTATTAAACTGATATTAAGTATCAAATTCAACGAGTGTACAAATTGTTGCTCGATTACTGTTTGCATTATTTGCAATGTTTGAAATTGATTTAAAAAATATTTGTAATGTTTAAAAAAATAGTATGTTGTATTCGGAGTAAAAATGTACTTTTTATGCCTCCCTGTAACGTCGGAATAGCTTTAGGATGGTCCTTCAAAGGTACAGCATCGTCAAAAAAAGTATAATTTTTAATTTTTACTCCTAACTAAAGCAATACACTATTGTTTGGAAATAGTCTTAAGTCGAGAATGAAATTAGTATGTATTATCTAATGTCAAAGTGTAAAGTACTTACTGCAAATCAAAATGTCGGTAGGAATTATTATTAATAGCAACATATTTACTGACAACGATTGTAGATTCTCGGGAATGAAGATATAGTCTCTATATAAGAAGAATCTAGTTCTGCATTAGACTTTGCAAAAGATATATTTGAACAGCGAATTTTTGTCACTTATACATAAATTTTAAAATCCCTGCGTTTAGCGGTCTAATAAATTCACACGAAATTAGTTCAAAAATCGATCCAACAATTAAATTGATGAATAGTTATTTTTATATATGTAGTTTTATAACGTTTACTATTATTTTTCGATTTATTATCTATTATATCTGTTATAGTAATATTTTTTGTAGTTTTCTAGGACACATTTTTATAACTTTTACAGTTATTTTTTGATTTATTATAAAGTTTCAAAAAAATTTTTTTTTTTGATTTAAATCACATGATTAAAATTAAAAAAATCACTTGATTTAAATCATGATTTAAATCATGATTTAAATCATTTGATTTAAATCATGCCAACCCTGGTTCCCACACAAGTTTTTGTAACTTCCGGAAAAATGAGCTCTGAAATTCGGACATTCGCCCGGACCACCCCGGACACCTTAAACACCCGGACACAAAATAGAAATAGTTGATTTCTATTTTGTGACCCGGACATGTTAGATTCAATCTACAGGGTGTTTCAAAAAACATGTGCCATCTCTCGTGGGGAGATTCCTCACGTAAAAATAAGATTTATTTTTCATATCAACATAGGTCCGATTCTACTTTTAGCGTTTTGAATGAAATTTGAGGGTAAAAGTTGCATAAATACGACATATTTTAATGGTAAAAAGTGTCGACATATTCACCAGAGACGTGCATATGGGTTATCACTGGAATATTTTTCTACAAAAAGCAGGTACGCCACTGACTTTTTTTCTCTCTTTAATGAAATACTGTCACAGTTTAATGTCGATTAAAAGTTGTCGCTTGATCTTTTGTCGATTTTTAAACTCCAAACGGAATTTTATTAATTTGCCTTGATCCAAGTCTAATAGCAATCTTTAAAAAAAATTAATATCTTTAACTTGCAAAAGCTTTAAATAAGTACTGATTTATACCTCATTAAAAAAAGTTCCTATAAACATTGGTATGGAAATGCATAGTTTTAGAGTTATAAGATGTTAAAACTTTTTAAAATTGTTTTTTTTGTAATTATCTTAAATACCATTATTTTTTTATTTAAAATTGCTGTATGTTGGACTAATAGTAATAGTAGCTAATAATAAATTAGGTAAACTATACAGGGTATAGTTCCAGAAATAAGTGCAAGTATTTTAAGGGATGGTAGATCTCGATAAAAGAAACATATATTTTCTCTTTATCGTTTTTCAAATAAGTCCAAAATAACGGAGTTATTTTACTTTGAAAATTTCCAAAAAAATGTCTTTTTTTGCTAAAATTTTGAAAACCACTGGATTTTTTCTGGATTTTTTTTCTTGTAAATTTAGTTTAATACCTATATTGCCATATTATCAAGAAATTATTGTTTTTAACTAAAAACTAAAAAAAATCCAAAAAATTTCGAATTCTAAAATTTCTTTTTTCGCGAAAAAAACCTCATAGGCGTGTTTCTAGGGTTCAACTGTACTACCAGTTAAAATACTTGCACTTATTTCTGGGACACCTTGTATAGTATACTTAGGCCGAATTCGACAAAATATGAAGAGATAACTTTTAATTGGCATTAAACGGCCTACACAATTTTGATGCGAAAAGAAAAGTCAGTGCACATGTTTTTTTAATGAAAAACATTCCAGTGATAACCCATATGCACGTATCTGATGATTTTATCGACACTTTTTTAGCATTAAAATATGTAGCACTTATAGTAACTTTTACCCTCAAAATTTTGTTCGAATCAATAAAAATACTCGGAAGAAAAATTATTAAGACTTTGTAGCTACGAAACAAAAAGGAAAATCGGATCTATGTTAATATGAAAAATAAATCTTATTTTTACGTGAGGAATCTCCCCACAAGAGGTGGCACATATTTTTTGAAACACCCTGTACATGTATGGAAACCCTAGTGTAGAGTCATGTAAAAAAATATTATGATTTAAATCATTTATAGTCCAAGAAAATAGGCCTTCAAATACGAAGTTTTGGTAAAAACTTGAATTTACAATAAATAAATAGAATATTTTTTTAGAAATTTCGCAGAAACGGTAAGGACTATAAAAAAGTCAAATAAAAGTTGTAGGCGTTTTTTTAATTTCTACTATCATTCCCTAGATTCTAGCGACCCTATCTCGGTTAATTTTGATCTGAGAAAAAAAGTATAGACATCATTTTTATGTAAAATTTGACGCTCCACAACTGTTTATTTGAACTTTTTTTCTAGTTCTTACCATTTCTTCCACATTTCGAAAATATAATTTTATTTATTGATTTCACCCCTTCATAACTTCAAAAATTCAAGTTTTTACCAAAACTTCTTATTTAAAGGCTTATTTTCTTGGACTATTAGTGTAAAATCACTTCAAAAAATAAAAAATATTTACTTACATGTTAAAATAACAAGACAGGTCCTTATGAAGTACTCCCAGAACAATGGATGATTGTTTTTTTCGAATTTCTTGACGAGATTTTGCGTCCAGACGATATCAATGGCCACGTACATCGATAATGCGTGAGTGGTGAAAATAGCAAAAGCCAACATCAGTTTGCAGACTTGTGCAGCACTGAAATAAATAAAAAAAACATTATAATTAGAAATAAAAAATAACTAGAATAAAAAAAACTCTTCAAAATTTACTCTATATTTTTTAAATGACTGTATAATAATAATGGTACTTACATGTCTGATGGTTCGATGGTATAGGAGATAGAGCCTCCTACTTCAGCTCCATAAGCCAGATAACCGAAAAATCCGGTTAGAATATACAGGGCGACCACCGAAAACATACCAATATTCAGGACACCGCATGCGCTGCCAAAATGTTGAGGATTTTTCATTTCATTTTTCAGAGGCATAATCTGAAAAATAACAAAAAATGTGTTTATTTACATTTTTTATTTAAATTAATTAAAAATTTAATTAGAAAAATAACCTAAAAATAGTAAAAAGTTTTTCCTCTGGTAAAGACAATTCGGGGACATACTGTATAAAAAGTATATATTCTGTTTGAAACGCTAGTTAAAAAGTATGAAAGGTATCTCTTGGCTTCCATGTTACAGGATAGGATTGTAAATGTTATAGTTACATTATCTCAGTTATTTGGCTAATTTAAAGTATTGACAAATACAGGGTCCGGCAATAGTGCGTCGGGCATCTGTAGCTCCTAAAATAAAAAACTTGAGAATTTTGTAACTTCTATAGGGTGGCTCAAAAAAGTGTGAGTGGACCTGGATGATTTTTTTTAAAGGGAACACCCTGTATATTATTGCATTTTTGGCTTCCTTTCAGATCATTTTACATAACCCTAAGATATTAAAAATTTTGAAATACTCTAAATACAAAAAATGTTCATTTTTTAATTCTCCGTCTGTTAAAAAAATAATATACAAAGTGTTCCATTTAAAAAAAACAAGAAAATTTATTTTATATTTTAGAAAGTTTGGCGTAGAATATTGAACATCCTGTATGATTTACGATTACCATATTTATAGCAAAGTAAGAACAGACCATCTAAAGTATATACCTAATATAGTTTTGATTTCAAAACAGTTCTTGTATTTTTAATAATTTTTTTAAGAAGGGCTGAAAAATATATATTTTTGATTTATTTTTTAATATCTCCTGAAACTATTAAAATATATTTATTCATATCTTAGGGTTATGTAAAGTGGTCTGAAAAGAAGCCAAAAATGCAATAATATACAGGGTGTTCCATTTAAAAAAAATCATCCAGGTCCACTCACACTTTTTTGAGCCACCCTATAGAAGTTAAAATATTTTCCTGAAATACATCCTGGTACATACTTTAGGTTTGCACTTAAACAAAATTCTCAAGTTTTTTATTCTAGGAGCTACAGATGCCCGACGCACTATTGCCGGACCCTGTATACATTGTATCCAATTTAAGAAACTAAACATTGGTTAATAATAATTCAAAACAGAACTATCAAAAAAAAACTGACTAAGCCACTGGATTCCTTGTAGAATTTTTGTAAGGATGCGTTATTTTTATTTATAAGATAAAAAGACTTGAAGTGCAATATTTTCACACAAGGAAACTATATGTAGATGCCACATATAAGTGCATATTTGAAATATAGAGCACAAAAAGTAGCTCAGGTTCCTTTATCAAACTGGGAGGTTCTCTGTTTACTAATAGGCAAAAAATATACAATTGCAACCAAATGAGACACTATACAGGGTGTCCCAGAAATAAGTGCAAGTATTTTAAGGGGTGGTAGATCTCGATAAAATAAACATATTTTCTCTTTATCGTTTTTCAAATAAGTCCAAAATAACGGAGTTATTTTACTTTGAAAATTAAAAAAAATGATTTTTTGCTAAAATTTTGAGAACCACTGGATCATTTCTGGATTTTCTTTCTTGTAAATTTAATCTAATACCTATGTTGCCATATTATCAAGAAATTATGTTTTTTAACTAAAAACTAAAAAAAATTCCAAAATTCTTTTTTTGCGAAAAAAACCTCATCATCAGGCGTGTTTCTAGGGTTGAACTATACTACCAGTTAAAATACTTGCACTTATTTCTGGGACACCCTGTATATTTCATATCAATTACAACTTTTAGTTACGTAATCGAGGGCGCAATTTTTAAATTCATTGTTGCCAACCATGGACATATTCAAGTGGTAGCTCTACTGTAAAAAGTGTCAAGTTGCCACATTTATTTACTTATTTCCTGAAAATGTCATTCGTTTTGACATTTTAGTTTTATATTACGAGTTTTTGGTTTAAATAAATAGTATTGTGATGGTTTAAGTTTGAAAATATTTACTAGCAGACCTTGCAGTGGAACATTGCTCTTTTTAAAACCTACTTTAGTGCGAAGTGACAAGATAGCTTAATAGCCGTAAAAAACTGATCGTAACTTTATTAGAATATTTTGAACGGGAAACCGGTAGAAATGGTCGCTTTATGCCCCTTAAGTGCTGTTAAGTAGGTGAGTTTTGTTGATGTAAATAATAACTGTTTATATATTTATAATTAATTTATTTTTGTTTTCTAAAATATTTTGATTGAAAGAAAATACGTAAAAGTGGGCTACGCTGTTCCGGTCAGGCTTAATCACGTGATTAAAAGTTTATTTGATATGAATTGTACATGTATTGCAGTGATATTCTATACTTTTCTTTAAAAAAAAAGGATAAAACTTACCACTCCAATAGCTTCAAGGGCAAACAGCACCGTACCGAAGTACAAAGGATAGTCTCGATAATTGCCAAAAGTTAATCTATTCTCAAAGGTGATCTCTGTCTTGAAAATGTAGTAGAATATGATGGCAAACGAGACGAATGTCAGCAGATTGGCCATGGTGGTCAATGGCGCTAGGAACTTCAAGTTTCTGATGTAGTTGATGAAAATCAGAGGAAGGAGGATGATCAGCATAATAATTCTTTCGTCGACTGGATGTTCGAAGTACTGATTACAGACGTTTTGAATGTTCTCCGCTACGAAGACGGTGTAGACGCAGCATGTTCCAAGCTGATATAACAGTAGGAACGTATTACTTATTGTCCTGTGAATAAAAAACAAAAATTAGTTTCGGCAACTTGGCGCAGTTTATTTTTCGATCATACGGTATCTACGTACATATCTGATTTATGAGTCAGACATTTCTATTGTTTCAATACAATTTAATGCTTGGTTACGTAATATAAACACTGATGTAGGTACCTATATATAATAAAAAATACAGCTTAATTTAAAAAAAGCCATTAGGATAAATATATTGCTCAGTTTCAGTTAGTTATGGCTTTGAATTAAAGTTGTTCGTTGTGTTTTATAGCCTAACATTTTAAAAATAGTTTAAAATAAAGTTTTTTTAACAACATGCAGATTATATTACGTACTTTTAGTCCAAGAGCCGGGTGCAACAAACATTAAAAACATGAGTTATTTTTTGAGTTTTTAATTATCTGCTGATGATGCTAACATGGTTAGCAAAACGCGCGTTCCGTGTAAAAGTCAGTGCCGGACTTAGGCCTAGGCCAACTAGGCCCGGGCCTGGGGCGGCAGATTTTTAGGGGCGGCAAATTTTGAGCATACTCAAATATTTATCTTTTTTTTCCGAATATAGCCTTAGCCGATTACATATTTATTTACTTAACTATTACTAATGTTTAAATGTATAATTCGCTTGGGTTATTTTTTACTGCATTGTGCCATGCATCCAGTTAATAAATACATAAATACCTCGAATATAAAAAAATAAATTCAAAAACATTAAAAAATTTATCAAAAACACGTTGGTCTGCACGAAATGAAGCTTGCCAATCACTATCTTTGTCGTCCAATTAAATAAAATCCACGTTGAAGTCAATTTCTGCAGACGATACCGAAAAGCCTAAAACCCAATTATATGCTTCTAGTCTCCTTAAACAATTCAAAAGCCTAGAAATGGGTTTTATGGTGGTATTTTGGAAAGACGTTTTAAATAGATTAGATGCGGTCAATAAAAAGCTTCAAATGGTGGATATTGATCTAGAAATTGCTGCAGATTTATATAGCTCATTCGAAAAATATTTTTCTGAAATTAGAAATCTAGATAATACTAAATCATTTGAGGAATATGAAAGAAGGGCCACAGAATTGTTCGGTGAGAAAGAATATGCGGCAGATAAAAAGAGAAAAGTGAAACGGAAACGACAATTTGATGAAACCAGTGATAATGAAACTCTATTTAATGCTCGGGACGATTTTAGGATAAATGTATTTAATGTTATTATTGATAAATTAATCCTTGAATTTTTTTATCCTACAGGAAAAGTGCCTACAATGACTTTTCAGCCAAATTTGGTTTCTTTAGTGATTTATCTACTTTAAGTATTGGGGACATTACCGATACGTCCAGACATTTAATAACCTGTTATCCAAATGATTTAGATGAGTCAACGCCTAATGAATTAACACATTTTCGTGAATTTATAAAATGCATTAAGTCAGCAAAACCATCTGCTAGAGAGCTTCTTAAAGTAATTTATGAAAAAAAAAATGCTAAAGACCTGTTTCCAAATACTTTCATAGCATTAAGAATCTTCACATGTACTTTTATTACTAACTGTTCTGCTGAACGCTCGTTTTCCGCATTGAAACGTATTAAAACTTATTTACGGTCCACTAGAACGTCTAAATCATTTGGCAGTTTTACATATTGAGTCCGACCTTTTAAAAACTACCAATTACGATGAAGTAATTGATAATTTGGCGAACAAAAAAGTACGTAGGAAACCTTTATAGGCATATAAGCAAACCTTATAGTTTTGTTGTTCGTTTGTTGTCATTTTATATGAATATTTTAATAATTATTTTATGTTCTGTGTTGATCTGTTCTGTCGGTCTGTTCTGTTGTTGGTCCTATATTCAAATAAATGTTTTTTATATCCGTAATTTTTTTAATTAAAAAAAATGTTAAGGGGCCGCAATTTTTTTTTGGCCTGGGGCCGGACTTAACTTCGTTAAGTCCGGCCCTGGTAAAAGTAAAAGTGTTTTGGTGTATTGTGGTGATTTAGTGTTTTATTTTGCTGTGTAACACCAAAGCGACCATGCGTAGCATACATGCGTGATGATTCATGTTGTATAATACAGGGTGTCCCAGAAATAAGTGCAAGTATTTTAAGGGGTGGTAGATCTCGATAAAAGAAACATATTTTCTCTTTATCGTTTTTCAAATAAGTCCAAAATAACGGAGTTATTTTACTTTGAAGATTTCCAAAAAAAATAATTTTTTGCTAAAATTTTGAGAACCACTGGATCTTTTCTGGATTTTCTTTCTTGTAAATTTAATCTACTACCTATGTTGCCATATTATCAAGAAATTATTATTTTTTAAATAAAAACTAAAAAAAAATCCAAAAAAATTTTCAAAAAATTCCGAATTTTCAAAAAAAAATTTTTTGCGAAAAAAACCTCATAGGTGTGTTTCTGGGGGTGAACTATACTACCAGTTAAAATACTTGCACTTATTTCTGGGACACCCTGTATATAGTACATGAATAATAATAAAGTTATGAGAGTTCCATATGAGCTTGACACACAAGTAGATACCAGACTACAGAATAACAATACATGAAAACCTGTATGCTAGTCTGGGGTCTAGCATCTAACTCTATTCTTGTTGGACAAATAAAACTGTAAATGAAAATAGAGATCACCAACTCTGCTCTCACCAATGACTGAATACAAGGACGCGTAACGCCCATATACGGGCTGGAGCAGAATTTGTGCTGTTAGACGCCATCATTTTGATCTACGTATGTCACCAGCTCGTCAACAGCGACAATTTGAGCGATTTTTAATAGTTTGTTGTATGTAGTGAACGTTGTATAAACTTTATTACGGTGGTGGTGTTCAGGCTTTCAAGTTTAAAAGCCGCAACGATAAGAAAGAGCCAGGAGTTACGTTTCATACGTAAATAAACAGTCCACCTTCTTAGCGTTTTCTTATTGAAATTGATAATTATTTTTCTGATATTATATGTACTTGATATATGTGCTATACGTCGATACCAGTTTTGAACCTTTTGTTAACATTTTAATACGTTTTTTTGTAATTAATTAGTATGATACCACCGCCTACACCATAGGCGTAGTCAAAACATTTATCAAAAGTATAAATATCTCTTCAAGCAGCTTAGTTAGGAAAACTATGTGACTACGGCACTGTTTGGAGCCATAGTAACAATTTCGTTTCGGGTGTTATTTGTCCTTTTATTCTTTAGTCATTGGCGCTCACAAATGAATGGTTCACATTGTATGACAGATACTGATAAATTGCTAATCTGTGGGCAACTTTAAAGTAAGATATATGAGTGTGAGGTAATAGAGATCTAAAAAAATGAGAAATAACATTTATCGTTTCAAGGTGTACTTGTCACTGCCCGAAGGTTTTGAATTCTTTTAATCACACTTGATATTCATAATAACTTTAATTTGAAAGCACATAAAATGGCAGTCACGACACTTTATACATACCTGTAATTGGAATAAAAGTCCTAATATAAATATAATATATTAAAATATTCATGATAAGAAATTACTCATAAAATTCCTTATTGAATTGGCACCATTAATCAGGATAATTTGAAAGACGTAAGTATATACTTAAAATGCCTAATCATTCTATCACAAAGAGGTCTAAAAAATATATCTTTAAAATAAAAAAATTGAGTATTAAAAATCAAACCGAGTAGGTACAAAAATACAATATTATTTATTTATAAAAGAATACAAATTACATGTAAAAAATATTTCACATCACTAACTTCAATTATAATCTATTTTAAGTACGAAACCAAACTATTTACAATATGATCAGAAAGTTTTATGATTAAATGTGATTTCTATAATGACAGATACATTCGGATGCAAAAACGCCACGGATAATTTTTTCGTCAAGTTTAAAATTTTATATTTTTTTATTGTTGGCCCTATTTTCATGAATTTTTTAGCAAACTGTATACAGGGTTGTTCACCACATACGACACAGAATATTGTAGCTAAAGGATTAGATTTCTACAAATTGGAAGTTTTGGGTTCGTTGAAGGACTATTAGAGCTACAATTTAAAAATATTTTACAAGATACAGAGTGTCCCAAATAAATAAAAAATATCGAAGTTGTATTTTTTTAAATGGAACACCCTGTATATTATTACATTTTTAGTTTCTACGATTAAAATAAAGGTAAATTTGATTAAGGTTTATTACACTTAAACCTTACCGTTTTTGAAATATTTTCAATTTTGTGAAATTGCAGTATAAATTTTAAGGCTTCATTTCTCCGAGGGTATCAAAGTTTTTAATACTAAATATTTACTGAAGTTTATTTATTGATCAGTTATTGTGTTGCATTTTCTTGTAATTTAGAACTCATTTATCAATATACCCATGGAATACTGACATTTTATTCTGGTTATTTTTGAAGATGTACCAAATTTTTAAAGAGTACAGATTCTAATATTGTCGATATAGTTCGTTTATTTTGATTAAAAAATAAAAAAAAACTCTTTAAATATTTGTTAAAGAGGACCAATTAATATGATTCCAGTATTTAAACTACATTAATTGACTGTTTGCGTTGATTAATAATAATTGCTCCAAATACTAAAAAACTGAATTATGTATCTGTATTAGACAGTGTGGTAAAAAACTAACACCTTAAAAATGATATTTCATTTTTTGACAAATGCTTATTTATAACAACAGAGACGTTCATTTTCATAACTTATTATATTGATTTCTGATTCAAATCCACATTTATTTAGAATAATTTATTAACGAACGCAATTTAAGTATGTAATTAATTAGTATTTGGGCGGAAATACTGGTGGTATATTTAATTAATGGTATACTGTTTTATAAAGATTAAAATAGTTTTCTTTTGCATACAAATGGGCTAGTAATATTATCGTTTTACTAAAAACGATAATATTACTAGCCTGTACATTTTGTACATTTGTTGTTTTAAAAATTATTGCACAGAGTGTTTTAAATATAGGGTAAAAACCAACTCTTCGATTA